GATGCTGCCTGGCCTGCTGTGTTCCTCCAGCTCCACACTGTGTTATCCCTATAACTCAGGCCTACTAGTCCTGGCAACATCCTCATAAATCTTCTTCACACACTTTCCAGTTTAACTATTTCTTTCCCATAACAGGGTGACCATAATGGAAGACGTTACAGCTGAAATTAAAAGTGTATGCAATAACTATAATCATGGGTGGCTTTTATCACATGTAGATTGGACAAAGCAAACAAGTGATTGAATTATGGAGGGGGATTTTTCTGTACACTGGGCATGTGATGGTTCTTTTTTAGACAATGCATTGAGGAAACAACCAGAGCATGTGCTTTTCTAGACTGCATAAAGTGCGTAATGAGAAAATATTCAAACTTGTTGTGTGGGTTCCTTAGGGAAGAGCATCTGTAATATGATGGAACACTTTGTTAAGATAAAGTGTGAAATATTTGAATCCAAATCTACAAGCCTGAATCTAATAAAATGAAATATTAGGCTAAAATCCGATAATTGGCAAGGACAAATTGGAGAATCTTTAACAAGTGGTTGACCCACCTTCCCTGTTCTCCAAATACCATTTCAATGTTTCGTTGTTCTGTGCACATGTGCACAGCAGAATTTGTAAATGACACAATGAGAATGACGTGTGCAAGCACGCTTCCAAAAATGCACATTTGCTTGTTGCCCCACAATTCTGGTGTCAGCAGGAAATAGGGATAGCATTAGATTGGCTAAAAACAGCATCATGTGTGAGGATTGGAGCCATTTTGAAATTCAGCGATATAAAGTTTGAATGTAAAATTACAGACAGTGTGATAAATGACCCTAAAATAAATATGTACAATTGACTTACAAATGACTTATGAAGACAAATCCAAGACATTTGCAGTTAGAAGCCAGGGGAATTATAATAGGATCAAAGAAATGACAGAAGAATGGAACATATTGTGTTGGTTCTGCCTTCAGAAAAGAGGACACAACTAAAATTCCTAGAAATGTTATAGAGAAAATGGATCCAGAGAGTAGGTGGAATTGAAGGAAATCAATTAAAGGTTAACAGATATGAATGCTTAGGATGCATCAGATAGATAGTTGTCTTGTCTGTTCTTATGTTTACGTACACTATTAAAGTGAATAGCATTTTGGGAAAGTAAAATTTGACATGCTGTCACTATTACAGGTCTAAATTACACTAGTAAGGATCCATTTCTGTTGAATATCTTGCCTTCACCTCTCCATCTTCTTTTCCTACTTTGCAACACTGATTAAAACCTACTTTTTTAATCAAGCTTTTAGTCATCTTTATTCTTTGCACCTGGAACACCATTCTGACAGCAGTTCTGGAGTATAAATGTTGCATATACATTTTGGGATGCACATTTGAAACATCTAATTATTCAAAATAGCTCTTTATTCTTAATTACATTTTGTTAGGGGACTCACCGTGATCGTTTTTGTCTCCTGGAAATTGTTTTCTGGATTTAGTGTAAACAGTGCTGTCTCTGAACATTTCTTCCTTTTGATTATGTCCCAGCAATACACTTGAAAGTGAACAACGTCTTTGGCATCATGTAATTGAATAGTGACACTTTCCTCCACCCCAATGTGAATGATATTCGGGGCAGTAATCAGGTAGCTAAAATAAAAGCCAAAATACATCAAAATAATCACAATTCTTCCAGTAACCTTCTCACACAGATATGCCCTCCATCTCCTCGAATTCTCTCCAGTTCAATATCGCACCACCATATTTTCCCTCCTACAGTTATGGCTTTTTGTCCACCTCTATTTTAATCTCTACAGGATTGACAACTCTTAACTCTGATAGTCCCCAGCTAAGTCTCATTACCATGTATCTAAGTTATTTCTTAAAACCGACGCATTGAACCGAGTTTTTGGTCACAGGCCCTAATATTTCCTGACAGGCTCATTGTCAAGTAACATTTGTTGATCAAAACTGTGAAGCACACTGGGGCATTCCAATGCATTCAATAATAAATACATATTATTGTTGAAATCAGTTGAAGTAGGCACGCACTTCGTTTGCTGATCCCTTACATTCTTTTGAAATTTTTGAACCAAATGAGATTTTCTTTTCAGTGTTGCTGTTAATGATTTTCTTATTTTTTTGTGGTATTAATAGATAATACAGCAATCTGTCTTTCTTTTCCTAAAGTAAAATCTGGCAAGTAGCTTCCTATTGATGTGTTCAGTATATTAGTGATGCTCAGATTCATTTAGGATAGCATTATTTGGATGAGTAAGTAAATGACTTTGATCAGTATCTTCATTTTCTCCATTAACACAAAATCAGGCAGGCGTCCACCTGGCATCTGTCTATGTAAATATCAGTAATAATAAGCATAGCACAGTCCTTGTGGAGATGAAATCCTACCTTCACATTAAAAATACTCTCTAACTGTTGTCATGCATGGGGAGGCAATGGCCTAGTGGTATTATTGCTGGACTATAAATCCAGATCCCTAGGTAATATTCTGGGGACCCAGGTTCAGATCCTGCCATGGCAGATGGTGGAATTTGAATTCAGATATTTTATTAGAATAAGAATTAAGAATCTAATGATGACGATGAACTATAGTCGATTGTCAGAAAAATCCATCTGGTTCACTAATGCCCTTTAGGGATGGAAACTGCCATCCTTACCTGGTCTGAATTACATGTGACTCCAGACCCACAGCAATGTGGTTGACTCTCAACTGCCCTCTGGGCAATTAGGGATGGGCAATAAATGCTGCCTAGCCAGCGATGCCCTCATCCCATGAAAGAATAAAATAAAGGGACAAACTTTGAACAAATCTAGCAACTCAAGACTGGGTATTCGTGAGGTGCTGTGGAGTATTAACAGCAGCAGAATTGTAATCCAAGCACAATCTGCAACCTCATGGCCTGGCATATCTCCCACTCAAACATTACCATCAAGCCAGGGGATCAACCCTGGTTCAATGAAGAGTGCAGGAGGGCATGCCAGGAGCAGCACCAGGTATATCTTAAAATGAGGTGGCAACCTGGTGAAAGTACCAAACATGCTCGCATGTCAAACAGCCAAAGCATCAAATAATGGACAGAGCTAAGTGATCCAACAACCAATGGATCTGTTCTAAACTCTGCAGTCCTGCCACATCGAGTCGTGAATGGTGGTGGACAATTAAACAACTCACTGGAGGAGGAGGCTCCACAAATATCCCCATCCTCAATGATGGAAGAGCCCAGCACATCAGTGCAAAAGATAAGGCTGAAACATTCACAGCAATCTTCAGTCAGAAGTGCCAAGTGGATGATCTATCTCGGCCTCCTCCTATGGTTCCCAGCATCACAGATACCAGTCTTCAGCCAATTCGATTCACTCCATGTGTTGGAAGCACTGGATACTGCAAAAGCTATGGGCCCAGACAACATTCCGACAACAGTGCTGAAGACTTGTGGCCCAGATCTTGCCTTTCCCCTTGACAAATCGTTCCAGCACGGTTACAAACCTGGCATTCACCCAGCAATGTGGAAATTTTCCCAGCTATGTCCTGTACACAAAAAGCAGAACAAATCCAACCCAGTCAATTACCGCCCATCAGCCCACCCTCCATCATTAGTAAAGTTGTGGAAGGTGTCATTAAAAGTGTAAACAAGCAGATCTGCTTAGCAATAACCTGCTCAGTGATGCCTGGTTGGGCTCTACAAGGGTCACTCAGCTCCTGACCTCATTACAGCCTTGGTTCAAGAGCTGAATTCCTGAGGTGAGATGAGAGTGACAGCCCTTGAAATCAAGGCTGCATTCGACAAGTGTAACATCAAGGAACACTTGTAAAACTGAAATCAATGGGTATCAGGGGGCAAACCCCTCTGGTTACAGTCATATCTGGTACATAGGAAGGTGGTTGCAGTTGTCAGAGGTCAGTTATTTCAGCTCCAGGACATCTCCACAGGATTTGCTCAGGGTATTGTCCTAGGCCCAACCATCATTATCTGCTTCATCAATGACTTTCCCTCCATCATAAGGTCAAAAGTAGGGATGTTCACTAACAATTGCACAATGTTCAGCACCATTCATGACTCCTCAGATACTGAAGCAGTCCATGTTCAAACGCAACAAGAGTTGGACAATATCCAGGCTTGGTGTGACAAATGGAAAGTAATATTCATGCCACACAAATACCAGGAAATGACCATCTCCAATCACTGCCCCTTGACATTCAATGGTGTTACCATCACTGAATCCCCACTACCAACAACCTTGGGGTTACCATTGACCAGAAACTCAACTATACTCATCATATAGACAGTGGCTACAAGAGCAAGTCAGAGGCTAGGAATATTGTGGCAAGTAACTCACCTCCTGACTCCCCAAAGCCTGTCCATCATCTACTGGGCACAAGTCAGGAGTGTGATGGAATACTCCCAACTTGTCTAGATGCGTGCAGCTCCAACAACACTCAAGAAACTTGACACTATCCAGGACAAAGCAGCCTGATTGATTTGCACCATTTTCCCAAGCATCCACTCTCATCGACGCTCAGTAGCAGCAATGTGTACTATCTACAAGATGCACTGCAGAAATTCACTAAAGATTGTCAGACAGCACCTTCCAAACCCACAACCACTTCCATCTTATAGGATAAGGGCAACAGATGCATGGGAACACCACCAATTTCAAATTCCCCTCCAAGCCATTCACCATCCTGACTTGGAAATATATCACTGTTCCTTCACTGTCAATGGGTCAAAATTCTGGAATTCCTTCCCTAATGGCATTGTAGGTCAGGTGTACTACACCCACAGCAGGTGGACTACCTTGGTTCAAGAAGACAGCTCACCGCCACCTTCTCATGGGCAACTAGGAACAGACAATAAAAATGTTGGCCAGCCAGTGATGTCCACCTCCCACGATGAATACACAAGACCTGTGTAGGAAAATACATTTATATTGACTTGTTCTAAATTTTCCAGGTAATCACACAGGTTACTCCAGTCAACAAAATCAGCCAGGATGAGAAAACAGTGAAAAAGAGGCAGCTGTTTGAGACAATGAGCTGACAACACCTCTCTGGTTCGACATATTATTACTGTGGAGGATTCAGTGAGGCATTTATGAATTCATTGCCACCAATTGCACCTCAAAGCTGACTTGTGCAAGGACTAATTCTCCACATCAGGGACTTCTAATGTTAGGATTGCTATTCTATTGCCGTAACCATAGTTATAACATGCTCTCAACATGATTTTATTTTGAGCGAGAACAAAACAGTGGGAAATTGTGAAACGTATTCACGGGAAATATTATTTGTATGTAATTCCTACTGGACCTCAATCACTAATTTTGTATGGAATAAATGTATCGGTCTAACAGTTCCATTTTGACTTTGTTGTGTCCCATATAGAAATTATAGAAAGACAGTGGGCAATTCAGGAGAAGACGAAATGATATTGGGCAAAGGCACTGGAAGATTCAATTTGTAGACAAAGTCGTTACTATATGCTGGATCTTGTTTTAGTTTTGTATTCTAGGTAAACAGTGCCAGGAAATCATTTTAAACCATGGCAAGGAATAAACTTTAACAGAGACAATGACTAAAAATGATTACTTTCTATTAATCCTCCCATTTACACTGTTCATAGACTTGTTAACGTTTGACGCACACAATGCTTAGAAGACATGCAGCTCCCAATCAATCTACTAATATTTTCTGTAAAATTTCTGAGTTGCACCCAAAGCATTAAACCTGCCTCGCAGTTTCCAGATGTGTATAACCAGGATTAGAAACTACATTAATGTACTTACGAAGGTGCTCGCTCAGTTGCTGATGCAACCACGTTAAGACATAAGAGGAGAAGTAACATTTTGATGGCTAAAATGGAAACCAGACTTTCTGCGAAACTGATAGACAATTCTAGCTCTATCAATAAATTTAACTGCATAGATCTAAGTCACTCCTCCATGTAAATACGGACTGTCAATAATATCGATTGGCAATTAATTATTCACTTCATATGATCTTGTTTGGCATCTGAATGACTTTGCCTTTCTGTAGATTGAAAGGAAAAGTTAGACAAATATAAAGCAGATTCAAAAAAAATTGGAAGATTAGACCAAATGGATTTGGGAGGCATATAAGTATCACAAGAGTCTGAATGAGGATTGTTATGTGCTGTAATTATGTTCAATAGAAACAGAAAGAGACCATTCAGCCCATCAAGTCTACACCCACTGAAGAACATCCCACCCTATCCCCATAACCCCACACATGCTTTTTACCACGGCTGATCCACCTAACCTGCACATCTTCAGACTGCAGAAAGAAACCATAGTACTTGGTGGTACCTACTCATATAGGGAGAGAAGGTGCAAACTATACACAGGCAGTCACCCAAGGCTAGGATTGAACCCAGGTCCCTGATGCTGTGAGGCAACAGTGCTAACCATTTGTGCCACCAAGCAGCTATAAATATTCACTGTTTCATTTTCAATGCAAATACTTCAAGAGAAATAGAAGGAAAGGGTTCAAGAGAGAAGAATGAAAATTGCAAAACAATGAACATTAGAGGAGAAATGTAATATAAGAGGGTGCAGAGATATCCGATGATGTTCTCTGGCCTGGAGAGTTTTCTTCATAAAGAGTGATAGGATAAACTGGGGTTATTTTCCTTATAGCAAAGAAAAAGAAGGGGGAGCGTGATTGAGATGTATAAAGTTATGAGGGACATAGACAGGAAGAAACATTTCCACTTGGTTGCAGGGTCCATTAACAGGAAGTAAAGATTTAAGGAACACATAGGTGTAATGTTGATGTGAGGGAGAAAAGATCACCCAGAGGATGGTGGGAATCTGGAACTCACTGCCTATAAGGGTGGTTGAGACAGAAACTCTCACAACATTTACTAAGTAGTTAGATATACACTTGATGCCAAAACATACAAGGCTTTAAGTAAAGTGCTGGCACTTGGGATTACAGTAGTTAGGTGGTTATTCTTGACTGGCACAGACTTGATGGAATGAAGCGCATTTTTCTGTGCTGTAGCCGTCTATGAATCGATGACTGAAGTATGTACGACACATAATCTAGACAGGAATGTTCACAGATGACAGCAAAATTTGTGATACAGTAAGTAATGAAATAGAAAGCCTTAGTTTGCAGTACGTCATAAATGGGCTGGTCAGTAGGGTGGAAAAGTAGCAAATGGAATTTAAGCCAGAAAAATATGGATGTGGAATTTTAGAGGAATAACAAATCAAGGAATTACATGATGAATATTAAGATACTAAGAATAACTGAGGATCAGAGGTACTTTAATGTGCATGTCATTCGATCACTGAAAGCACGGGAAAGGTTGATAAAGAAGACATATTGAATACTGGTGATTATTATCAAAGGTTTTAATACAAGAGAAAGAATGTTATCACGCTGCTTGATAAGATAGTAGAGTTCTGCCATGGCTGATGTATTGTGTGCAGATCTTGTCAGCAAACTTTAGGAAGAATGTGAACAATTTAGAGGAGTTACAGAGTAGATTTACCAGGATGTTGCCAACATAATATTTAAGAACTATTTCGATGAACACTTGAAAGGCTGTGGCATAGAAGCCTGTGGACCATGTGTTAGAATATTGAATTGGAATGCATATGTGTTTGATGACATGATGGGACCAAGGGCCACGTGTCATGCTGTAAAAGTCAATGATTGCATGTATGTCCTAACAGGAGATGGGAAGTAAAATTGTCCTATACACTGCAGAATTTAAATAAATAACAGGTTATCTCTTTGAGCCACATAGATGTAGAGCTACTATTTATTTTTCTGGCTAGGAGAGTCTAGAAATAAGGGTTATTTTTCTCTAGTTGAGGATCCAAATAGTTAGGATGGAAGTGAAGATCCATTTCTTGGAATGATGCAAACCTTGGAAATTAACTACTGTTAGATGTCCAAGTTTTAGCTATCTACAAAAGTGAGAGTTTTGAACAGTGAAGGATGTAAGGTTTTGGTAAAATAGAAACATAACAGTAACTAAGAAGATCTACTGCGGTCCCCTTGAATGGCATAGAAGTCTTGATTAGCAGGTTGCAATTTCTTCCCTACTTTATTCTGAATAACTGATATTACATAAGATCCTGATTTCCTGAGTCACAAAGTCCTTTATAAACATTGAACTTGTTTATCGGATTTCATCATTGTTAGGCTCCAGACACACATTTTATCTGTGACTGTACCAAACCAGGTTAATGTCTACGCTTTTTGGTGGAAGTTCACATAACTTAATTTGTGTTTTAAAAACTAAAACCACACAACTCATTGCACTGTTAAAACAGAAACACCAATGAGAGCAGCAAGAGACTCATGATTGGAAATTAACAAAATCTGAACTTGATCCATCTTCACTTTCTGAAACTATGTAGCTATAGTATATTTCCACAAAACAAAATAATCAGAATTTGTTCTCAGTCCAAGGTTAGATGTTGTTAATCAGTAGCCAGGTATTTGCAGGAATGTGCACAAACATTGTGTCTGGCTCGAAGTAAATCCTCACTTGGTAAGTGAAACCTATGCTGCCTCTTGACTGCCAGCTGAACTCGGATTTACCAGAAATAGTCAGGTGATTTCTCTAAAGCATTCAACATTTTATTTATTTGCAAACATCAATAATTCGTCAGTCCTATCATCTGAAAGTCCCTTCTAAATAAACTAAAGCTGTTTTGGGGACACCGAAAGCAATATTGGCCAACTAAATAAAAACCAAAAGAACTGCGGATGCTGTAAATCAGGAACAAAAACAAAGTTGCTGGAAAAGCTCAGCAGGTCTGGCAGCATCTGTGAAGGAATAAACAGAGTTAACATTTCGTGTCTGGTGACCCGAGGTTCTGAGGAAGGGTCACCGGACCTGAAACGTTAACTCTGTTTTCTCCTTCACAGATGCTGCCAGACCTGCTGAGCTTTTCCAGCAACTTTATTTTTGTTCCTGATTTACAGCATCCGCAGTTCTTTTGTTTTTTTTTTCAGACAGACATGCAAGCCACTAACCTTGATTGACTATTGAATGGGTTGTTGATGAGACAATGCTGCAAGGTTTCGGGTGGAACAATAAATCTGAGTTTCTGTTGAAAGGCTTTTGAGACAGCTCAGCTCCTAAAGTTAGCTCAGTCAATAGGGGAAGTTACAATATTCAACACTGTCTTTTCTTATACACACACACACAAACATAAGTTGCTAGAAAAGCTCAGCAGGTCTGTGAAGGAATAATCAGGGTAAGTTTCAAGTCCAGTGACCCTTCCCTTTTTAAACACGTTTTCCTGAGAAGAAACTCAGTTTAAATTGATACATTGTTATATCAAGCTACTGCTGGAGGCAGCACAGTGGCTCAGAGATTAACACTGCTGCCTTGCAGCATTCGGAACCTGGGTTCGATTCCGGCCTTGGGGTCCAGTCTGTGTGGAGTTTGCACATTCTTCCCGTGTCTGTTTGGGTTTCATCTGGGTGCTCCGGTTTCTTATCATAGTCCAAAAATGTGCAGATAAGAGACTTGGCCATGCTAGTTTGACCTTAGTGTTCAGGGATGTGTAGGAGGATTAGCCATGGGAAATGTAGGGTACAGGAAATAAGATTGGGGGTGGTTGGGTCTGGGTGGGATGCTCTTCAGAAGGTCGTTGCAGACTCAATGGGCGGAATAGCCTGCTTCTGAACTATACTTGGAAATGACCTGGATAACTAGATAAAAGAAGCCACTCAAATCAGAGTTCTCTCTCTTTCACACACACACTCTTTCTCTCTCTGTCTCTCTCACTCCTACACTCAAACTCTATCTATCTGTCTCTTTCTCACACACACACTTTGTCTCGCTCCCTCTCTCACAATTTGACTCTCTCTGGATGTAGAAGTGGAAGGGTGGATTAGTAAGTTCGTGGACGATACGAAGGTGGGTCGAGTCGTGGATAATGCGGAGGGCTGTCACAAAGGGATATTGATAGGATGCAGAGCTGGGCTGAGAAGTGGCAGATAGAGTTTAACCCTGAAAAGTGTGAGGTAATTCATTTTGGAAGGACAAACTTGAAAGCAGAATACAGGGTTAACGGAAAGATTCTTGGCAGCGTGGAGGAGCAGAGGGATCTTGGGGTTCATGTCCATAGTTCCCTGAAAGCTGCACCCAGGTGGATAGAGTTGTTAAGAAGGCGTATGGTGTGTTAGCTTTCATTAATAGAGGGATTGAGTTCAAGGGCTGTGAAGTTATGCTCCAGCTATACAAAAGCCTGGTTTGGCCACATCTGGAGTATTGTGTCCAGTTCTGGTTGCCTCATTACAGGAAAGATGTGGAAGCATTGGAAAAGGTGCAGAGGAGATCTACCAGGATGTTGCCTGGAATGGAGGGAAGGTCTTACGAGGAAAGGTTGAGAGAGCTAGGGCTTTTCCCCTTAGAACAATGAAGGATGAGAGGTGATTTGATAGAGTTGTACAAAATGATCAGAAGTATAGAGTGGACAGCCAGAGACTTTTTCCTCGGGTGGAGGTAGCTATTGTGAGGGGGCATAGTTTTAAAGTGAGTGGAGGTAGATAATGGGGAGACATCAGCGGTAGGTTCTTTACTCAGAGAGTGGTAGGGGCGTGGAATGCATTGTCGGAGGGGATAGTGGAGTCGGTCTCATTAAGAGCATTTAAGCAGCTATTACATAGGCATATGGATGATAGTATAAGGTAGGGGTGGAGGGTAGATAGGCCTTAGGTTTAGGGTAAAGGTTCGGCACACATCGTGGGCTGAAGGGCCTGTACTGTGCTGTACTGTTCTATGTTCTCTCTCTTTCTCGCTCTCTCTCACACACTGTCTCTTTGTCTCTTAATCTGTCTCCTTTCTCTCTCTCTCTCTCACTTCTCACT